TTTGGCGGCGTCCTCTGACAGCTGCACATGTGACCCACAAACGTCTGGCTGGCACTCAGCTCAAAGTTTATGAGCTATTTGCCTGTTAAAATGTGCCAGTCTTTTGGGCGGTAGTTTGGCATAATGAAATCCCTTCTTGAGTCGCCCGATAATCCCGAAATATAAACCGATTGAGCAAAGCTTAGGCGCATCAGGCAACAAATCTTGTCATGCTGCGCTGCTTGGATTGTGTTTGCCGCCAGCAACTTAAATATTTCCGAGACTTGCGACTGTTGGAAAATGACTTCCTGCCAAAAGCAGAAAGCATCCGTATCCGATTCCACATACATATCCGCAGCCTCAGCCACAAACTGCAGCAGCAGCAGCAGCAGCATCAACGGGGGGACACGGCAAAGAGGCGGAATCAAATCGATTATGTTGCTATTACTTCCGCCAGCTGCCGTTGCCAGCTGCACAATCGCAACGCTCCTTTTGATATGCCCCACAAGCCTCTCCACATCGTGGCTGGATACACATTTTCTCGAATTTATTTCACGATTTGTTTTCGAACACACAAACAGATAAGGATGGAGAACCCATTGGTGTGCTTTGGATTTTAGTTGAAATTATTAAGAAATCACGGGAAACCTCTTCCACAAATACTTCTGCGTTTTGTTTTCAGTCTCTCCAAAGTCTCTGCTGTGATCTCTGATGGAAAATGGAGCCAGCAACAGCTGCTGCGTTGCACACTGCCATAATTCCCATTCCCCTGCTGGACAGTGGAAACTTTTGTCGATTGCGATGATGGCTATGGGGTGCACCACTCTCTCAGCCAAAATGCTCTGCGGTGCGGCAAATTTTGGCTTGGGTTGGGCTGGGCATACTCATCTGCCGCGCCGCGCCGCGCCGCGCTGTTGGTCATGTTGCAGGGGCATTGAGGTATGCGAGTTCGTGTGTGTAGCTGCAAGGCAGGTCAGAGTGCAGAGTCGACGGCCCGCTGGGCGCTTCAATTGTGAATTGGCATTCAATTGGCACTGGACAACCGAAATGCAGCAGTTCGTGTTGTCCAAATGGCTAATTAGCCATTGGAAATGCGCTAAGAACTTGCACATAATTGCCCCTAATCCGGTTGCCTGGTTAGCCCGGGCGGGGAATCATGTTCGCTTGAGGACAGTTTGCTCTTTGATTGATATTAAATTGAGCTGCCGAAAGGGCAGACACACGCCGCAACGTCTTTAAAGCCCAGCCCGACGAGGGCTTAAGGATTCAGGCTCCAGGCTCCAGGCTCCAGGCTCCAGGCGTGTGCTAAATGAGGCGCGCTAATTAGAAACCATTTCCCCCGAATCGACTGAATGGCAAACGGCATGGAATGACGGAGGTTGTGCCAGGTCTCGTGCGTGCCATCTTACACTCAATTGATTTAATGGTCCAGACCACAGAGCTCATTGTTCGCGGCTGGGACATGTCGGGCTCAGCTCGCTCCCAGCTCGTCGTTTGTCCCCGTTTTATGCCTGTCACATAATAAATCTTATTTGATTTGTTTACTTCCCATTACAACTCTTGGGTCTGGGTTTGGGTTTGGGTTTGGGTTTGGGGTTTCCTCTTTCGCATCTTCCCCTCAGACTAATTCGATTGGCCTCCGTTTGGGTGGACCGAGGCAATTTAATTAATAATCAAATTACGCATACGCAACGTGTCACCGATATGTAGGTACGCGGCACCAAATCGTATTCAATTCGATTAAAGTTGTCTTCAATTAGGTCAGATTAGGCTGTGGTCTGGTGATCCGCAGGATTAGAAAACTGCAATCTGTCTTGTCTGACTTGTCAGACGCTCTCCATTGAATTGTTTGAAGCTGCTTAAAGACTTTGACTGACACAGAGAGTGGAGTTTACCTCTTTAGCTCTAGCCTGACAAAACAGAAACTTTAACTTGCTTGCACATTCAAGAGAAATTAGCCCTGACCACGCCCGTTACAGCTCGGAGAAAACAATAACCATAAATGTTAACAAGGAGCTGTCGCCCCCCACAAAACGCAAGACACAAGACCCAGGACCCAAGACTTAATGATGCCCAACAAAAGGGAGCATGTGTCTGTCTGTGACAGGTGCTAAGGTGTCTGCCGAATTCGAATACAATTTGTGTCTGTTTTGTGGCCCATCTCGCTTTGGAATTAATTAGAAAACTGCGGTCAGACCTTGCCTTGTCTGGCCAGGGCAACATTTGGCAGCACATTTAAGTTGTGGCTTACTCTGCAGCAGGCGAAAGGCATTTAAATGTTGTGCTGCAAATCTGTGCAAAATTCCTTAATGAAATTGCCCCTATTCAGCCATCGAGGCAGCTTGGCAGGCGCTGTGAGCTGTGAGCTGTGAGCTGTGATTGATTAACGTGTGTGTGTCGAATCGAAAGTGGAAAGCAGCAGCAGGAGGAGGAGGAGGAGGAATAATGGCAACAAGAGTCAAACTACGTCTCAGTGCCAACCTTTTCGAGGGATTTTGCAGAGAAGCTCCGAGGGCGAATGACTGATTGTCCTTGGCATCACATCTGCATACACCCGGACACATATCCGCACATAAACGCGGATGGTTGCTGCCTTTAGAGCCATAACTGCCCGGCGACCCGGGCGACACGTTCGCACATGAAAAATCGTTCCGGCTTGGCTTGGCTTGGCTTGCCTTGCCCCCTGCGAATCTGATTATAAAACATGTGCTTAAGTAATGGCAGCCAAAGTGAAGTGTTTGACTTGACTCCGACTTGACGAGGCCGCGTTCCGTGTCGTGTAACGGATTCCCTGCCAATTCCCTGCAGGAGCGGAGCGGCTGACGCTGAAGATTAATTTGTTTGCACTTTGACGGGATGCTGAAACGAACAGCAGCACTTGCATGGCGAAGACAGCGTGGCAGCAGCTATTCTATTCCTAACTGCAACATATGATAATCAGCCATACTTTCTGTTATGCTCGGAGCACACCCCCAAAAGACAGTCCGCACTTCCCTCTACCGTCGCTGCAGTCAGCTATCAGAAGTATGCGCATAACTCAGACGCTGCCATTTGCATGCTTCGAGTGTTTACAAATGGGATTCGGACTTGGATTTTTCCGCATTGCATAAATTCCCTTTATGCCGTGCCAGCTTGACGAGCGCAACGAACAACTTTTTGCAACATTTTATCAGATTATGAAACACACAAAATGCAACTTCCCGTGCTCTCTCTCTCTCTCTCTCTCTGTGTGTGTATTTCCAAGCAATATAGGAATACATTTATGTAGCTCGAACCTCTGGCAGCTCTACCTTTGCCCAAAGTAAACGGAAACATTAAAATTGTATTTGTGAGCTGGGAGCTGGGAGCTGAAGGGTCTCCTCGCTCACACAACAATTGGAAATCGGCTGCAAACAATTCTTCAAGAAAAGTGAAGAAGTTTGAAGAGTTTTGCACCTTAGTGCGAAAGTGGCATCAGCGCTTTGAGGGGCACCAAATGAAATGGCTCAACCATTTTCTACTGATAAATACATCAGCGAGCCCACTAATGCCAGCTTGCAGCCTTATCAATCTCTATTAAACCGGGACTCGGCTCTGGGCATGACAAATGGCCAACAGAATGCATATTTATGATTGCACACAGATACACACACATTCCTGACCATACTCAAGAGGAGTCTGATTGGGCTCGGCTCGGGCTACTCGGCTACTCGGCCAAAATGCCAGCACAAACTTTATACGCACGTAGTCAATTACTCAAACCAGCAGCCAGCCAGCCAGCCAGGAATTGCCACCCACCGACACGTGCAGCTACACATGAAAATATATGTACGTACAAGGTATGTCCTGGCAACACCAAGGAGAATTGAAGAGATAAATTAAACACTCCGATGCTGATTTGTATGTACTTTTAGTGTACAATTGCTGCAGGATATATAAGAGCAATATTATCTCTTTCCTTGTGGTAAAATGTACTTTAAAATAGATTCAAATGCAATTTTAGCAACTATTTGCCGACTGCCTTCAAGTGTCGATGTTGTCGCCCAATATCACATGTGTTGTCGTAGTCCCCAAGTTGCCTCTTTATGGACGAAAACAACTCAATAAATATTGCATTCGGACACACAATTGAAAGTCCAGAGAACAACAAAACTCCACTCTGGGCATTGCCAATGTTATTGTCTCTCGATCTGTGTTCTGTGTTCTGTGTTCTGTCTTTGTCTTAATTCCTTTAAAAGCTGAGACAATTACAATTGGAATTTATTTGGCAGGCTGGTCGGCCCTGAGGGAGGCCAGAGTACAGATATCATGAGTTACTGTTAATTAGAAAATTGTTATTCAATAGAGTTGGAGTCTGGTCCGTGCAGCGAGTGGGGTGTTCATGTGGTTAGATTGATTCTAAGGAGCTCGAAAATGTATATTTTATGGATTCTTTCTAATCCAGATTATATTTTTGTATTATTGCATCTTCGATTAAAATATTAGCTATTATTATTTGAATTTGAACTAAGACTGTAATGATATCGAAAATAAATACTTTTAATACACACTAAGTTGGTGTCATACCAATCAGCTATCGACAGTCAGCCAGAATGAACTGCTTGCAACATTTCAATGTTAACTTAACAGAATTGCATGTGAATTGAAGTTGCCAGCTAAAAGAACAGATTTAAATTAGTATAAAGTGATCAATATCGTCGCACTTCATCCCTACTTTAACGTTATAGTTCGGGATGTCGTGATAAATGGCAATTATCCACGTATATATGTGTGTATAGCTCAATAACACCCACGCAAAGGCAGCCTGACAACTGGGCTATTGTTTATTCTAAGTGGGAAATTATTAATCGGAAAATCTTGCCAAAACGAATACACATTGACGTACGGCAAAAACAATTCTTTATTTCTTGATAGAAACATAAAATCAGTAATACATAATTATTATTATTGTTACATTTAAGAGGTTGTTGTGTATTGTGTAAGTTTCTGCTCACAATGTGCCCTGCCACGGCCCCACTACGGATGGGCATTTTTCTCATTCATTTTTGGCTTAACACTGACGTTACGTTTTCCAGAAGCGCGGTGCTGTACTCCTGCTGTCTCTCTTATGTCTTAGCTTAGATCTGCCTGATAAACCTGATAAGCATACATTTGCGAGTTAAAATACTCGAAATGTAATGTTTTTCTGCACACAGAAGAAGACGTTTGGAGACTTTACAATTACAATAACAGCTACGGTAGAGGTAAATAGTGAGCTAAATAGTTAATAATAGTTTTATCATTTAAGCTAGGTGCTGCTGTTTAGTTTTTGCGAGCAGGGAGTGCTCTCCGTGGTGCCTCCGTGCTCTGAAGCTACTTGCTTAGTTCTCCACTTGGGACTGACTTGGGACAACCGAAGCTTGGTCAAATATACTCGTACAGCAATCGTTTATAGCTCTGGACTGGGAGCTAATACCTCCCTCGCTAACATAACATTCCTCCCATCACTTTTTGCACTTAACTCCTATTTGTGAGGCTGCACGACACGAGGCACAATCTAGTACTCAATCGGATTGGGATCGCGTGGCTTGCGTGAATACTTCAGGCCCAAATCGTCGGCGGTCTCGTCAATGACCTGCAGGGCATAGTCCAGCTGCTCTTTGGTGTGGGCAGCCGACAGACAGAAACGAATGCGACCCTCCATGATGGGCGTCGCTGGGAAACCAGCACCCACCACAGCGATATGGCGGGTGGTCAAAGTGCGAACCACAGCTCTGAAGGGGAGATATATTAGCCATGAAGCAAGCAAAGTAAGGCGGGTCTCAGCACTCACCCAATCTTGGAGAAGAGGTAGACCAGCATGGGAACCACGGGCGAATCTTCGTGGCCGTAGGTTATCACACCCAGCTGGGCCAGACGCCGGCGGAAATAGCGCGTGTTCCTGGCCAGTTGCATGATCTTGTTGCGACCCGTCTCAGTGCCATCCTCGCCCATGATTGTCTTCATGGAGGTGAGTATCTGCTGAGCAATTGGCGGCGAAATAGAACCAGCATAGCAGTGGGCATGGCTGTTGGTGCGAAGGAAGTCAATCAGTTTCTGCAGGGATACAAAATAGTAGCAACATTAGTAGGGAACCAAAAACACATTAGTTAAAGGGGTGAAACGCACCTTAGAACCGGCTAGATAGCCGCCGGCACTGCCAAAGCTCTTGGTAAAGGTGCCCATCAGGATGTCGACATCTTTTGGATCCACCTTGTAGTAGTCCGTGACGCCTCGTCCATGGGAGCCCATGGCGCCGACGCTGTGTGCCTCGTCTAGATACAGATAGGCCTTGTACTTTTTCTTCAGTGCCACGACCTCGGGCAGGCGCACAATAGAGCCCTCCATGCTGAAGATGCCCTCCACAATGATCATCACCTTGGACCAGGGCTTGCCTCCGTTCTTGACATTGCCCTGGCAGATGCCATCGCGCAACACGCGCTCCAGGTCCCGCATGTTGTTGTGCTTGAACACCTTGATTGTGGCCCCGGACAGACGCAGGCCAAGGATGATCGAGGCATGGTTCTTTTCATCGCTCACCACCATGCAGTTCGGGCCGAGCAGAGACGGCAGATTGAGGGCGTTGGTGGCGAATCCCATGCCAAAAACGATGGCATCCTCCACGCCAAAGTAGCGAGCAGTCAGCTTCTCCAGCTCGTCCAGCTGCGCGTTGTTGCCCAGTTCACAGCGGGAACTGCAGTACGCCAGTCCGGAGTCTCGGGCCCGCTCCTCGGACTCGTCGGCACAACGTCCCGTGGCGGCGGCAAAGCCCAGATAGTTGTAGGAGCCCAGATTGAGGCAACGTGTTTCTGTACCCGTGAACTTGAAGCTCCAGCCATAGTCGTCGGTCACGCGATCCTTCAGCGTTAGCTCATCACCCGGCACACTGCAGATGGGCCGGTTCCAGCAATCCTTGATGCGGCGGTACACGTAGCGGGAGTAGAAGCTTTCGAAGGCGTCATACAGCGCCACATAGCCCTCGCGGCCCTTCTCCGTGGCCACCTTGGGCACGAACAGCAGCTGGTTGATGTAGCCGAGGATCATGAGCAGGTAGAATCCCAGGTAGGTGAGGCAGGCCGTGTGCATGGGCACCTCCTCGAACGAGGTCTTCTGGTAGTGCTCCTTCTCCGGCGAGAGCTTGCCCTCTGCCTGGTTGGGCTTGGAGCTTGATCCCTGCTCCCTGCTCGCAGAGGCATGACCATTCATAAGCGCTTTCTTCTCCGGATGGTAGCTGCTCGAGTTGGCTTGCTGTGGGCCAAAGGGATAGACAGCGATTAGTAGGTGGTTATGATTGATCGCTGGACATATAAATACAATTCCATAAATCACTTATCATGCAAGCGGAGGTGGCAAATGGGGAGCGGCGGCTTGGGCGTGATTCCATAGAGTTCTGAGTCTAAGTTGAGATCTTTCTCGTGGCACTGCGTGTCACACCATACATATTATTCGGCCACTGAGTGCACACATACTCGGTTGCCCTTTCTTGTTGTTCAGTTCAGTTCAGTTCAGGCAATTCAACATCCAATTAACATTCCACTAACAGAGCTACATACATACATAAACACAATACGCGCTCAGTGGAGTGAACATCAATTGTACCGATATTAAAATGTTAGATACAGCAAAAAATGTTAGCCAGAGCAATGTTATCTACTTTCCACACGGTTGTACGTGTAACCCCAATTTGCATTATGTCGAGCGTGTACTGTACATACATACATGTATGTGTGTATGTAAAAGCTAGCCGAACTACGGCAATTTGCTGCTCTTGCTCTTCCCCTCACACGAGTGAGATTTAGTATGAAGTCTAACCCACAAGCAGAGAGAGAGAGAGAGAGAGAGAGAGATGGAGGGCAGGGAAGCCATAGCAGTGGCAATTGCCCAACAAGAGCCACTTCAGTGCGGAATAATTAACATATTTATTAATTTAACTACAAACATGAAGAAAATGGTTTATTTTTATTGATTTTACTTTGTGGAAAACGTGGAAAGTGCAGGGTACTCCACTTTCATGCATATGTAATGGTTGAGAGAAGAGCATGCCTGACCGTACGAACTCAATTATATAACAATAACAATAACGAGACGGCGACAATAATATTTCGTGTTTATTATCATTTGCCTCTGGCTTGTTAGCAAAATATTGCCATGAGGAGACAGAGAGACAGAGAGAGAGGAATAACGGGAGAGATGAGAAGAGGAGAAGGGGGTGGAAAGGTTCCAGCATTGAACGGATCTATGGTACGTACGTAGAAAACCATCGAAAGCGAGTCGAGTAAATAAATAAATAAAATGTGTCGATATTACTAATTACTCAACAGGCTATACACCCGCCGAGCCAAAGAGGGTGGGGTATACGGTGGGTGTCAGATAACGGTTTTCACATTCATGGGATCCATGATATTCCAGATAGCGATTGACTATTGAATGCCTATCTCGGTGCATGAAGAATTATTTGACAGCGAGGAAAAATATAACATTTACGGGGAAGTCTAAGCTCTGACCAAGTCTGACGAAACTTTAAGAATTCCCCGACGCTGCCATAAGCCACTTATAAATGTTTCTCGCTGATCGTTGGTATAAAAAAAAGACGCCTAACAACAGGTTAACAGGTGCTATAAAAGGGAAACACGCGCAGACCTTCTGTTAGCCATAATACATAATACAACTTTTAAGATATGCACGTGGAACATGGTGAGTGTTAATACAGTTAATTTATAATTTCACACAGGTTATTTGCAATTTTCTTATCTAAGATATCGAATGGTAAAGACAGATATGAAATATCACAAATTTTCTTAGGAGAAATTATGAAATATATTTGGTTTGTCATGAATGAAATGTTGTCATGGAAAAGCATTTTCGGTACTTTCCCATTTCCATAAAATAAGAACATTGGTTAGGCATATCCAACGGTCTGCACATTCCCCTATCTCTAAGCCCCAGGAATGCCAAAGGCTTTCGACTATTCTACCATTAGAATAGCCAAAAAAAAAGTCTTATCGCGAGCAAATCACCGCCCTCAGCAAACGAATGTGAATCACCAGCCGGCGACGGTGCCTCGCATTCTGCGGAGCTTTACGTAAAAAAGAGATTGCAGCGAACGGGCTCTGATAACGCGACTCGCGGCGGCATGGCATGACTATTACCAGTGCGCAAGGTATCGAATATTTGGAACCTTGTATCGAAATAAATGAATTGGGGGCAATGCGGACCTCCAGGACACATGTCCTTGTTGCCTGGGCAACCAAACATTTGTTTGTACGGGTTTGGGTTTGCCAATGAAAAAGGAAAACACTGCAGTGGCGTCGCACAGCTGGGAGTTGACCCACAGAATGGGGGTCCGAGATGCCTTGCCTCCGAGATGACGCATGCCGCGCCCATCACACAACACACATATTCCCGACGCACGCACGCACCCACAAAAAGTCTATGGTTCGACGACGGACGCGAGTGAACACATTCGATGGCTAGGGCGACGCCCTTCTTCCACTTTGGACACCTTTGGGTCGGTCCTCACCTCACCTTGGATTCTGCGGCCGCCTTGGCGTTGCAGCGCCGCGTGCGAATCTCTGTGTATGCCGGCGCAGAGAATTTTCGCTCGGGCTCCACGCTTATGCTGTCTTTCGGCGAACCGTGGCCATTTGGCAGCCTGCCGTTGCCGTTGGGGCTGGCGAAGCCCTGCTCGAAGGCGTCAAAGTTTCCCATGTCGTGTTCCGTGTGTGAGTTGGAATTTACGGTGCTGGTTGTGGGTTGTACGTGAAGAGTTTAAAAAAAAGTGTGGAAAACCACAACAACAAACGCGAAATAGTCGATATCAGGGCCTCGAATAGGGTTGTCAACAATATATCGATATATTTTCAAAATAAAACTATATTTATATCGTGTAAGAAAGATTTCTCTCCTCAATTTTGCGTTTTAAATATGAGCACAGAATTACATTACACCTACATATACCGTAATCTTTAATCATATTCCTCGATTTTGATGTTCTAATTAATGTTACTAGCTGTTTAGGACTCTCAGCTTTAAAAGTATAATTTTATTCGAATCATCATTCAATTATCCACTATATTGGCTGGTTTCACCACTTATTTGTATTGGATTGATTGCAAAATAAGGTCAAATTACTTGGGTGGGAATGGTATGTCAAGTCATTTGACAATTTGATGCTGGCCAACCCATGGTGTTGCATAGTATGGACACTTGTGTACCCTATATCCAATACAGAATTTTACAATTCCGCATTCACATTTTTACATGGTTTCTATGTGCATCTAACAGATTGACTTCTTTATGCCTAAGTTTTCAGACATTACCTCAATTGGGGATATTCGTACCCAGAGAGCGTAATAGAATGTTGCTTATTGTATGAACTGGCACTTCCCATACATATGTATACTGTATTGTTAGTGGTTTTGCTTTTCATCACTAGATGGCACTTTTCAAATAATTGGCCTGCCACACAGCTGAAGTTAATCTTTTCTGCCGGTGTGGCAGCTCTTTTGGTCCAGTATTTGATGGCGGCGAGCTTTTGTCAGATATAATGTTAGCGTAATGTTAAATGTCTGAGACGGTAAGTTAAGGAACTTCGAAGGCAATTAAATGACTTGGCGCCAGTGGGCGAATTTATCAGGAAAACATCCTGTCAGGGCACCCTGTCCTGGAGCCGGACTTCGAAGCGAAAAGGGAGAAGAAGAAGGCCGTGGTAGCCGCTAACCGAGGTGCGTGCCGCCATAGTGGAGGCAGAACTAGGGATGGATTCCTCGAAATTTGGCCTCGAATTTTCTGGATATTCGTTGGATTAGCTAAAAACTAAAGCTAAAATGTAGCCTCTACTTGTTCGGTTCGCGCACCGTGAATATGCGCGTGAATAACATTGATTTATAATCAAAAAAAAAAAAAAAAAAACAGAAACAGAAACAGAAAAGAAAACCAAATAAAGGAACAAAATATTCGGATAAAAGTGCGTAAAGCGGCAGTTGTAGTAAAATTCATGAGCAGCGGCAAAGTGCGTTGACTTGGCACGGCCCCTCCGCAAGGAGACACGTCTCGTCTAGTGGGGACTGGGATCACGATCATCTACATTTCGTTTGATTGTTTTTTGTTGTTCACTGGAGTCTGTGCTCCTCTTTGCTTCTTTTTTGCGGAAGAATTTCAGCAATTTGTAAATGAATTGAGAATGGATGTGCTGTGGGGAGGCTATTGACTCGCTTCAAGGATTTTCTAGGCAAATTTTAAAAACAAAACATTGAACTTCACTCAGTTCGCAGTTTCGGCTTTGGCTACGTCTTCGTCTTCGTCTTCGGTTTCGATTTCATTTTCAGTTTCGGACTTGGACTTGGACTCATGTAAACACAAGCAGAGGGTTGGTAATCAACGAAACTTTTCAGTTGCTAATTAAGTTGGAAACTCTCTGGCGGATGATGAATCTCTTGGCTTAGCGCTTCTTCCGCCGCTCATTATGTGGCTATGCAAAATGCCAACACGTTCCCCGAGTGATCACTGGAGTGATCAATGCATCGATATGCAAATGATTGCCAAATTGTCGTCTCCAAGATGCCAGCAATTGTTTTTGGTTTCGTTTGCTACTGGTAGGGCTGGGGGCTACGGTTACGGCTGCGGCCCTTTGAGCTGGGCCCAGAAAGCGGGTCACGCTAAGCTTCTACTCAGCGATTGCCAATCGATTGCTGGCGGCACCCTAAAACCAAAGCGCGTCCTCAGGCAGAGGAAAAAGCAAATACCCTAACCGAAAATATAAACACAAAACAATGCTTTAATGGCTCTTGGGCTGAGGGTACCGCGCGGAAAGTTAACCAAATTTCTGTCAAAGGTTCTGAGCGCGCTTATCGCGCTGATCAGACAGATGGTGGTGCTGAGCGCGCTGCCTGCCTATTCATTTGAATGCCACAAACCGTGTTGCTGTCTGTGGTTGTTTGCACTTTGGCTGACACTTTATCGAGAGAGTTCAAGTACAAACGGAGTTGAGTCGTATTCAGAGCTGACAAAATGTTTCGTAATTGTGGGATGCCTGCCGCTAACCCCCCACCCGTTCTTTCCCGCAGACTCATCAGCAACAGGCTCGTTCCTGTTTTGCATAATTACAACTTTGTTGGGTTATAAATAATCCTGGGCACAGCCCCCCTCTCGCGGGGTGTCTGTGGTAGACGAGGGCGTTGCTCTAACAAGCATGAACGAGAAAAAAGAGGCCGGGGGCTCTGAGGCTCGAATACTCTGCCATCGTTCCTATGCCACTTGCGGGCCACCGCGAAATACTCTAAAGAAAATACTCCAAAAGGGTATGCAAAGCGTGTCATTGTCTCTGCAGTTTTCATTTGTGTGCGTGAGTGGGTGTTACAGTTAGCTTTTGTTGCTGTTGCTGTTGCTGTTGCTGCAGCCGATGAATCACGCGTGATATATCGCAGTTACAGTTACAGTCTGCGAACTACTCGTATTGTAGTGGACTTTGAGCCCCGCCAACGGGTTGACATTTTCATTATGTTGCCTCGCTCTTGCTCGCACCCCACTGCCACTGGGCGGTAGGGCGTGGCCAGCTTTGGCACTCACTGAAGCGATTCTCAATGCGTTGACAGGCGTTCAGGTTGTCAATCGTTTTGTGTCCCTCCCGCGTAGGTGTTGCAAACGGGTGACTTGCACCGTGATTAAGCTGTGAAATGCCATTGAAGGCATTTCAATTGTCAAGACCCCCAGAGATTAGCATAGAACAACAGAACAAATTGTCCATGAAAATTGTGAGACTTGCCCATGTAAGTTTTTCTTGGTTCTTGATTCTATTTGCATGTTTTATAATTTCAGCTTCACCTTTGCACCTCCATCCAGAGCCTGAACCTAATCTCTAGAAATTCAACTGAAGTTACTTGGAAATCAAAAATCACATAACCGCAACGAGCACACAAACATCCACAGGCACCTTCGGAAATGGCACACAAAATGTCCAACATCAAATTTCAATTATCGCAATTGGCAGAAGGAAGCCAGCGGAGCGCAAAAGGCTAGGCGACCCCAAGAGCAGTACGAGTGAACATGAACAAGTGTCTGGCATCGGGCAGAAAGAAGCAGCCGGAAAAAAATGAAAATTCAGTCGGGGAAACACAGTCGCAACGTACAGAGGCAGAGGCAGAGCAGAGCAGGCAGCTGGCTGGCTGGCTGTTAAACGGCCACGAAAAGTGATTTTCACATGGGCAATTAATGTTTCAATAAACGATATTCTGGCAACAACAAATTTGTAGCAACAGCAACTGGACTGATGCTGCTGCCGCCGTTTCATGTTGCATGCAGCACTCCGGCTGGCTGGACTCGCCACTGGCCAGGAGTGCAAAATGTTATTGAAATTGGCTTTTTATGTTTATGAAAACGTCCGCTGAACTGCTCCCTGCTCTCTGGAGATGGGAGTGTTTGCATTTGTCTCGGATTCCCATCGCCCATTCATACACCCACACTCCGTGCTCCCTACTCCCTACTCCCGATTCCAGTTCGATTTCCATTCCGATTTCGACTCTCGTTAATTACTGCCATTTTCAATCGTATTTATGCTCACGCCTCGCTCACGTTTTGGCCATCAACGAGTGCTCCTACAAGGAACATCTTGGACGCGTGCAGTGCGTGAAAATGTTGGCTAATTGCCCCATTTTATGGCCAATTTTGCTAAATTTGTGGGCATGCAAGCGAATTATGTTATTGTTCCTGCAAATTCTTGTTTGCCAAAAGGGGATAAGGCGAAAAGTTTGATTTCTAGCGAATTGTGAATGGATTTCCCCACATCAAATAACTCAACTCTAAATGGATGTAGGAAAGGCGAGATTTACATGAAAATACCCCAGAGGAGAGGGCTGGAAAATAATATGATGAGGTATGATCAAATATCAGCTAGAAGAATTCTCCTTCCAAGTCAAAAATTAAATTACCCAAAAAGTATGCATTTTACACTACTTATTGTGGTAGGAACTTCATATGGAAATTCGACAAGTTGCCGACACATTGTGACCATGGGAAGCACACATTCCTGCAGCAACCCAAATTCCCCACAAATTTCAATGCACCAGCAGCAGCAGCAGTATTATTCGTCTCGGTGAATCACAATTAAGCTGTCTGCCCTTCTGTGGCAACCTGTGGTGGTGCCTGTGGTGGTGCCAAGGCTGCCGAAAAAAAAGCTTTACTATCTATAACTATTTATATGGTCTAGCTGTTGGCCGCCTGCCGGGCTCAGGGCAGCATTCCAGCAGTTTGCCACATGCAAATCTTCGGTCGTCCCTTGGCTCTTGTGTTGTGGCTTTTGGGGCACAACACACAAAGCAGCACTTAGGCTGGCTTTGATTTGAAGTTCGTGTCCCTATGCGAACCCTCTGCACCGACTAACTGACTGGCTAACACCTTGGATTGTGAATCGAGCCAGAGCCAGAGCCAGAGCCAGAGTCCCAGTCCAGGACCCGTTCCCGGTCCCGCTCTGATCTCTGCTTGAGTGAGTGATTACAGCTGTGTGTTGGCTGGAAGTCGCTCCAGCCAACAGGTTACCCATGGGAAATCTTACGAGAGTTTGTGGAGAGGAGACCGACGACCAATTACCTGCCCCAGCTTCGGGTACGGGTTTTGCTGCTGCTGATTTTGGTTTTGAAATTTGAACTTGAGGCTAAAGGTAAAAATTGTTTGTCGAGTAATTGCCGCATAACGAGCTGGAGTTGGAAGGCAGCTTGAATCTGGAGGTTTATTCTTTTTTTTTTTTTGCAAATGTCGAGAGACTAGCCTTCAGGGCAAAAGAGCTGGCTTGGCGTTGCACTTTGCTCTG